CTGCTCACCCAGCAGCACACTGCGCCCCATCTCCAGCCGCGCCTTGAGGTCCCCCAGCCCCGCCGCCTCGCCATCCGGCCCCACCACGTCCCCCAGCAGCCCACCCCCCGCGCCCCCACGCTGCTCGCAGAGCTCCACGGCCCGCTCAATGTCAGAGATGGCGGCCGCACGCAGCTGCGCGGTCAGGTCGAAGGACGCGGCGCCCTTGCACACGTCCTGCGCACGGCGGGGCCGGATGGCGGTGTGCGTGGGGGGCTGCCGGGCTGTGTTTCTTGAGAGGCCCCTGGCTCGACGAGACTGCACGTGGCATGCCCCTTCCAGGGTCCCCTTGGCCTCTCACGTGCAGCACGTCTGACCATCACACCGCACCTACTGAGATGATGAGAGCGATTTACCTGGGACTGGGACCGGGGCCCACCTGAACGTTGTGGGCCTCGTCAAAGATGACAATCGCATTCTCGAGCCTCAGTGTGTCGAGCTGCTTGCTGGCCTGTGTGAGAGCGCGTGTGTATTTGTGCGTGTGTATTTGTGCGTGTGTGTGTGTGTGTGTGCGCGCGTGCGTGCGTGCGTGCGTGTGTGTGTATGTGTGTGTGTGTGTGTACGCGTAAGTTGGGGGCAGGGGTGCAGCTGCAAGCGTAGATGAGCAAGAAAAGGGCGGTAAGAAAGCCAGCCCGCTTGCCGCAGCTGCCAGCAGCATGGACAAGCATGTTGGTGCAATGCACCGCCTGTTGGCAACTTTTGACTTGTGTTTGATTCAGCGATGAACACGACGACCTGCAAGCGCTCCCTCCCGCCTTGCACGCCCCCCCACCCCCACCCACCCACCCCCGAGTCCAGGAGGTAGTTGTAGGGCATGAACACCACGTCACAGTGGGCCACCAGGTCGCGCGACAAAAAGTAGGGGCACACGCTGGCGGCGCGCCCCACGCGCAGGAGGTCCTCTATGTCGGGCGGCTCCAGGGTGGGGGCCGCGCCGCCGCCGCCCTGCCCGCCACCACCACTGCTGCCGCCGTTGCCGCCGCCCTGGCTGCCTGCCTGGCCGCTGGCCCTGCCCCCCAGCGCGCCAAACGCGCCGGCGGTGCCCGGGGCGGATGCGGGTGGGGCGTTGGCATCGGGAGGGTTGGGTTGCTGTGGCGTTGTGATATCCTGCACTGTGCGCTCCAGGCGCTGCTTGTTGTGCCTGGGCCAGCCATCATAGCGAGGAGGGTGTTCCGCCCGGGGGGGGGGGGGGGGGGGGATGTATGAGAACGGAAAGCGCGGTGTCGCTCGCCGTGCCAGCGGCGCCGCGTGCTGGTGCATGGTGATACGGCGGGTTGGGGCGCGCCGAAGGCGCGCTCCCTGCCTGTCGGGGCGGCGGCCATGTTGACCCACAGGCGCGGACAGCCGCTGTCGAGGCGCCGCGGGAGCACTGTGGGGAGGTTGCGCGGGATTCTGCGCTCCCTCACCACTGGCACTGCCTGTGGTGCACGAGTCCCCTGCAGGCAAAGTTGGCGTGGCCGCCCGTCATCTTGGAGACGCGGGGGTGGAGGCACATCTGCTGCCGCGACCCCAGGACTGTGGTGCGCACCCTAGGGTTTGGGAGGAGACGGGTGGTCACAGCAGACGTCAGGCAAGGGTGAGATCTCGATGGCCGTTGCACTTGCCTGCCATTGGCCTCGGGGCTGGGGGTGCAGCATCCCTGTGCTGCGCGAGGCTTTGGAACCGGGTCGGCCGCGCGCGCGGCTGTACAGCCCAAGGTGGGGCGGGCCCCCTCGCCTGTAGCTGGTGGAGCGCAGCTCCCTGATGACCTGGGCCAGCTGGCTGTGGGTGCGCGACGAGTAGATCACAAGGGGGGGCTCCGGGGGCGGGGCGCCAAATGCCACGGGCCGCCCCGCATTCTGCGCAGACGGCGTGGGGATAGCCAGAGGGAAGGCAGAGGTTGCACGGCGGTTGACCTGGCGTATGCAGGGCTGCGGGGAACCATAGGCGCTAGATTTCAGCTGTGGCATGCAGCGGTATCTGCCCGCCCGGGTCGTCAGGGTCCTGCTGAGGTGTCATAGCGACGTGGCTGCGTCACGCAAAAGGTCAAACGGGTGTGGGGCAGTCAACGCCAGCCACAAATACGCGCTCACTCGCCGGCCCCAGGCCTCCCGCCATGCCAGCGTCGCGCATAGAAGGCAGAGTGTCTTCCCCGTGCCGGTGGGGCTCTCCAGCAGGGCGTTCTCCTCCTGCGTGTGCGGAGGCGGGGTGCGCATGTGCCCAGAGCTCGGGCGCAGTGGCTGCCGCACGCGGCGCAGCATGCGACCCCAACGCAGCAGTGCCAATTGCGTAGCGGGGCCACTCATAGACTTGCGGGGTCGTATAACATTCGCCGGCGTCAGAGAGCTGCGCTGCAACACCTCACCTGGTCTAGCGCCAAGATCACCTTGCGCATGTAGTCGATCTGTGGCGTATCTGGGCGCGTCAGAAATATTTCCGATGCCATTGTTGTCTGCATTCCTCGTCCCACTTACCTGGACGGGGTAGGCCTCGTGGGGGAAGTCCACTGGGACCCCTTCAATGTCGTACACAGGCATCCTGGGACGCTGTCGTATTTGTATGCTGCACCGCAGCAGGTGAAGCAGGCTTGGCAGCCTCAGTTGCTGCCTGACAGCGGCATGCTGCGCACGCCCGCCCGCTCCACGCGCTCACGGCGCCGTCCCAACATGCTGCTCGGTCTCAGTCGAAGGCTTGCAAGTCAAACAGTACCTCAGGTGTAGAGACTGCGGTCAACTGCAGGTGTGTGCAGGTTGTGTGGTGACTTGCAAGGAGTACTAGTAGCTGCCCGCCTCGTCACTTAGTCACTCGTCACCAGTGTGCTGTAGAGGGCCTCGGTGGTTGCGACTTGCATGCGGCCGCATAGCACCAGAAGCCACAACTGCATGTTGTTACAAAAGATGCTAGCGATGTGTGTATGCTGCACAACTTGTCAAAACTGCACTCGCAGCTTGCTGATTTCAAAATTGAGCATCAATGCTCGACCAAAAGTATGGTTGGCTTCACAAAACGCAAGCATCGTCCATAAGCCTGAGCGCAAGTGGGCACTTGAGGTCGCCCACGCACACCTTCAGCCATACTGTGAGGTACAAATTGTCGTACAGATGACCACCATGAAGCCGGCAAACTGGTTCAGCTGAAGACCAGCCATGCTTCAACTCCTACGCAAGACCTCCGCCGCTCCATGGCTCGGGTCCTGCTCTCTTCGCCCCCCCCCCCCTTTCCCGCCGCTGATGTCCTCACGCCGTCCCAAAGTGGCCCTTCATCACCGCGTCAAAGTCGCGGCGGCTGATCTTGCCGCGGCCCTCCTTGTCGGCCTCGCGCAGCAGCTGGCTGGCGTCAGGGCCGCTGGGGCCCACCGCACGCCGGAGCTCGGCCTAATCAAATTGGAATGGGTGGTTCACGGTTTGTCTAAAGGGGCGGCAGAGGCGCATGAACATGTGTGTGGGGGGGTCCATCTGGGGAAATGACGGCTAGGCAGAACAAAAAGTTGCTGCTTGATATTCAGATCACACCAGGGTTGGGCAGGAGTGCCCAGAATGGATTGTTTTGTGCTGCTGTACGGTGACAATGACTGCCAGGCAGATTTCTCCCCCAGCTCAGTGTTGACAAGTGGACTAAGACAGGGCAGTTGCGGGCCCGCACCACGTCAATGAACCCGTCCTGATCTGTGTCGATGTCGTCGAACGACTTGCGGCGGAACGACTCGCTCTTGAGGACGTGGTCCCACACACTGGGGGAACCGGGGCCCTGTGTGTGCGCGCAGGAAGGGGCAGGGGTAAGGTGTACATGGGGGGGCCGTAGAACAAATGCCGCTGGACTGAGGGCCGCCACACGGAGGGGACAATCACAACGACAATGAGGTGGGGTCACGGGGAGATGGTCAGCCAGACAGGCACTTCAGGCTACAGCAGGCGGCCGGCATCTAGGTGTGAGCAGCGCCACTGCACCGCTTTGACGGGCCCTTGGTGCCCGCGGGGTAGCGCCTGCCCCAAAGCCCATGGCTCGAAGCAGTCGCACCTGCACAGTATCTGCGGCCAGGGTGAGGTCGTATAGTGGTGGAATAGTGGCCGCGGCCAGGGTTGAGGGGTAGGCCACGTCACACCAACCCTGCCAGCGCCATGGGCCTTCATCACTAGGATCATGTAGGCACAGCCTCGAATCGATCGGGGACCCACACGCGGTCCTGGGCAGGGTCAGCCGATGCCCGTGACACTTGGCCCAGCCACTCACCGTAGTATTGTGTCGTCTGGGTCGCGGCGGCGTTGGGCGCAGTGCCCGGGTCGTACAACCTGCAGGCAAGCAGCCGTGCAGGAAAAATGGGGCGGCTGTTGTAACGCACTCAGCACGGACGGGCGCACGCCGCTGCGGCTGAGGCGCACCTGCGCCAGGGGTTATCCGTGCGGCTGTTGGGAGCGCCGGTGTCACTGGAGCCAGGGCTGGAGCTGGAGCCCCACATCCAGGAGATCAGGCCCATCCTTGCAGCCCTGGGTCCGCTGCGGCGCAAGGCGATGTTGCACCGGCGCCCCAGGCGGCACGGAGAACTCAAATCCGTCATATGTAGGGACTCCTGGCAGGTAGCATCCCTTCCCACGCAATGACTGCCCCGAAAGAGGGCTGAGCAATCGTTCCGGCACTGTGCCAGATTGACGAGGGGCCAACGAAGGAGGTGGGCCGCGAGGCATCTCGCTCGAGAAGAGGCAAGCAAGGGCGCTGACGCACCTCGAGAGTGGTGAAGGCGGGCTGAGACGATGCAGCGAGCCTAGGGTGGGCTATCTGTCACACGGCCAGGATTCGCAACGAACAACGCTTGCAGAAATGCGTCTGAGACGTTCTTGCAACTGGTTACCGTAATTATTGGGCAGGCGAGCGATCAGCCGTCTGTCCTGGCACTGTTCCCAGCCCGGGATCACGCCATAATTGCTGACGAGGACCAGCCTTGTCAGGGCGGCGGCAGCCCTGCGCCCCCAGGGTGGTGCTGGCGCTGCATTGATATCGGCATTTTTTAGTAATCAAATTAGTTGCAGCTTTGTCGATGTTGTGATTGGCAATCTCCGTGCACAATCTGCCTCCTGGCTAAGTGGGGCTTGGAGACGGTGCGTGGAGGTGGCCGCACGCTTGCACAGCGCCATTGCTCTGGCTCAGAGCAAAAAACATAATCTTGCACTTACAGTGTCATTGTGCATCACGCACAAGCCCTGTAGGGAGTGGCTACCAACTCAAGTAGTACAACTATGGGTCGGCGAAGGGCGAAGGATGGGGTGGGACCGAGGTGGGAGACCCAAGCCAGAATGCATGCTGGTGAGCACACATACAGTCTCATTGCCAGCACCTCCCTACTGAAGGAGGCCTGCGCGTTGGGCGTGCAGGAGCGTATTATGAGATGGGGCGATGCATCGTAAGCGGTCAAAGAAGGACAGCAAATGCTTGGGAGTTTGATTTGTCACGACCCGCGCGATTGGCCGAGCCCATTGTTGGGGCCCGTCGGTGTCGCCAGCACACACTTCGTGCACATTCAACAGCATCAGGACACGCGACGTACGTTCTATCACAGCCAGCATTCACGGTCAACAAATGCGTGGCGCCTGGGCGCAAAGGCCCCTCCAGGTCGCCTGGCCGCCGGCCAGCTGCTCGGCCGCCTGCTGGCCGCTTGGCCCGGGGCCAGGTGGGAGCCGCAAGCATTGCAGCTACTGACATCATGCTTATAATGGAGCAGTTGTTCACCCGGGTCCTGCAGAAACTGCGCCGCCCGTGCCGAGGCGGCATGACTCTGTACAGCAAATCGTGCTGTGCAGACATTCAGCATTGTATCTACAGCCTTCAGTTTGTGGCCGCTGCCAGCTGTGCTGGTGTGAGGGCACCAGTGGCTGACTGGCAGACCTCCCGGTCCGGCCAGCGACCCTGCGCCCGCCTGCACTCATTTCCGTGCGATGGCCCATGAGTGCACTATGAACTGGTTCCCGTTGACCACCAGCTCCCCGGACGGCGTCAGCTGCGCGGCATCACCCTGGGGGTTGGGCGGGCGGGGGCCAGGGCGCAAAAGCGGTGAGATGAGGAGATGAATTGCTGGTGTTGCCACGTGGTGGATTCCCAAAAAGCCCCATGTTTGAATGCCTGTATCGGATAAAGAGACATTTCCCTTCCAATAAACAAGAAACGGAATTCCTGTGCAATGTGTGTCGACCACACATTGTCATATTCACCACAAACACAGATGAAACATGTGCGTCACCGCCCTTGGCATGGTCCGCCTGTCCCTCTGCCCTCTGCCTGTCGCCCCCCCCCCCTTGCACCTTGGCTATCTCAAAGGCCTCCTCGTCCTGGTTGGGCACCCCTGCCAGTGAGGCATAGGCCGGCTTGCCCAGGCCCTCGGACTTGTCCAGGTAGTTGCGGATGTACTCCATCGATCTGGCCGGGCGATGGGCGGGGGAAGGGGGAACGCGACAGGGGGGAAGAGAGATGGTAGACGGATGCATTCAGACTTGAAGCCAGGACAACTGCTGCTGATCTGGGTGGCCCTTCTCCCTTCTCGTGCCCACGCCTTGAATTTTGCTGTCCCGCCCACCCCACAGCTCGCACCTGTACGAGCCGCAGACCTCCACCTCGCTGAATATGGAGAGCAGCACCCTCAGGGCGTCGTGGCTCATGCGCCAGTAGTCCTGGGGACCAGCGTGGTAAGGGTTGAAACCTGGGGCGGGGCGCGGAGTAGGGTTGAGTGAGGGGAACGCTAGAAAGGGGGCATTCTCGAAGAGAAACGACGGATCCCCCACGTGGGCCAAGCATTTAGGGGGTGACCCCTTGCGATTGACGTTGCCGTGCTGAGAAGGTCGGCTGCAGCAGCCCCTCAGCCAGCTGCCGCCGCTGCCTCAAGCTCTGAGGTGGATCCCCTTCGCCTGGGCCTCCTCCGACGGCAACCGACTAACCCGGCACTGCCAGCAGCACGCGGCCGCCTGGCTTGAGCGCGCGGTGGATCTCAGCCACTGCCAGGAAGGGCAGTGATACGTGCTCCAGGACCTGGCAGGGGGGGGAGGGAGCCAGGGCCGGGAGGGCGTTGCTTGGACGGGGGCCCGTGACAGCTGCCGCACTTGACACACCTGCGACCAACTTCATGGCGGCGTTAGTATGAACGCCTGGCAAGAGCACAGCTCATGCCTCTTGCAGCTTTGCTGGCCAACACAGAGGTAAGCACCACAGTTCCAGGATCACTGAAGTCCAGCCGGAGGACCCCGCTCCTACGCTCCCCATCTTCTCACCTGGTCCAAGATGATCCAGTCGTAGCTGCCGGGTGCCACAGCGCGGTGCAGCGCCATCACGTCCACCTCGGGGTAGTTGCGGCGGTCCCACGTGGCGCCCACAAAGAACTGCTGCAAGAAGCTGGCTCCGCTGATCTCAAGCCCGTGGCCCTGTTCAAAGGTGGGAGGCGGGAGACATGTGGGTATGTGTGACAGGCTGGGAGGCGGGTTCGCGTGATGCACGAGCGGGGCCGCTCGAGTCAAGCACTGCTGCAGCCACCGGCGCACGCGCGTGCGGCATCCGCGCGTGCGCCTCTGGTGCTGGTACTACCGCGGCCTGGTGCCAGCACATACTCCCTGGTTGTGGGCGGCTACATTGTCTGCACTCTGCCGAGGACCCTCCGCCCTTCGCCGCATCTTTGAGGCCTGGTCGCGCACCGTGGCCTTGTCGGGGTTCTCCAGCAGCCAGTCTGCCAGATTGTAGTACGCAGAGTACCTGAAGGTGACGTCACCAAGCCAGCATGGCGCCAGCACTCAAGTTGGCTGCGTGAGACTAGCAAACCTTTCCTGTGCCTGGCTGCCTACTACTTTAAACTGCTGGGTTGCCCCCGTGAGGCCACGTCGGCAGCGCCAATGCACCCCTACTGGGGTCTCCCCTTCTTATAACGAGAACAATGAGCCGCGCATCTATCTGATGCCACTGCCACCGTTTTTTGTACACCCAGGCGCAGTTTGCAAGTCACCCCTGTTTGGCCCCGCCTACCGCTGGCGGCGCTGCTCACCGTGTGAGGGGCACCTTGTTGAAGGCTTTCTTGGGGACCTTTGATAGCTCTGCAAATGGCTCCTTGTAGGTGCAGCGTTTCCAGCCCCTTGGGGACCCGGGGGG